ATATTTTTACTTAATATTTTTTCCCAACAAGTCTTTTTTTTCTATGTGTTGCATGCTTGTGCTGCCTCAGTTTAGCTAAAAGTTTGAAGTTTAGTTTAAAACATAGGCAAGGAGGAAAACATTACGGTGCATTATTTTTAACTAAGCTAAACTGCAGCAGCACAAGCATGCAACACAGAAATAAAAAGACTTGTTGGACAAAATAATAAAAATAATTCAATTTAAGCATTCAAGAGACACAAATGCATGTACAAGTAGAAGGAAAAACTTTGTAAAATATAAATTAAAACCATTAAAATTTAAATTCTATTAAAATATTTAATTTATTGGAAATAAGCTGGAAAAGTAAATATGAAGGTCAGTTAAATGATAAAACATCAGGTTAAGTACTTTTTTAATTTATTTGGTGCATTTTAAATGTATTTCTTTATTTAAAGGTTCATTTATTGCTTTGTTTTTATTTTTAATTATGTGAGTGTTGGTCCTCCGTACTGCAGAACATGAAGAGGTAGTTCCGGGACTGAATCAGGTGTGTTGGAGCAGGAAACATGAAACGTGTAGGGCTGCGGCCCTCCAGAACCCCCTGAAGCTCCGCCTCCAGGCCCCCAGGTGTAACCTGAGCTGCAGGTGTGTTACCTGGTTAAATGAAAGCTTCCTCAGCTGGAGTCCTGCAGAGACGAGCTGCAGAGAGACAGAGAAGATGTGAGGTGTTCTGACAGCTCTACTGTCTGTGTGCAGGTCTGACCACAGAAGGTCTGTACCGGGTCAGCGGCAACAAGACGGACCAGGACAACCTGCAGAAACAGTTTGATCAAGGTAAAACTCACCTGTCTGCAGAATCCCAGCTGAGCCTCAGAAAGTAAGAAAAGTTCAGCAGGTTCATGTTTCTACTGAAAGTAAAGCTGAAGGTTTGCCTCTTCTGATTGGACGGATCAGAGGAGGAGGAGACAACAGACACCTGCAGCCTTTATAAAGTTCAGTAGAAGTTGTCTCCACAGGGTTGAGTTTGGACCAGCCTGAGACAGTGGACATGTCCAGAGGAGGGACAGTTGTAGTAGAAGACGTTCTGTGTGACTTCCTGTCTCCTCGTAGATCACAGCATTGACCTGATGGTGATGGACGTGGCGGTGAACGCCGTGGCCGGAGCTCTGAAGGCCTTCTTTGCTGACCTGCCCGACCCTCTGATCCCCTACAGCCTGCACCCGGAGCTGCTGGAGGCTTCAAGTGAGACTTTAACTACCTCTTCCTGCTGCACGAAGGACCAGATTAAACCTCTGAGTGTGATGAAACGGTTAACCCAGGGCTCTGCAACCTGCGGCTCTGGGGCCACATGTGGCTCTTTGGTCCCTCTGCAGTGGCTCTTTGAAAATGGGACCAAACATAACAGAATAAATGTTTTTGTTTTTATATCCACAACAGAAATCAATTTGTAAGCAAATGATCAATACTAATGCAAAAAGTAAAACATGTTAGCTCACGCTAGCCTGTTGTTTACTTAAATAATCTAACTTTTGTCTTTCTCTCAAATCCATCAGAGTTACCCATCCATCCATCCATCCATC